GGCCAGCCTAGGCAGGAAAGTCCTTAAGATTCTTATCTCCAGTTAACCACCAGAAAGCCAGAAGTGGTGCTATGGTTCAAATTGGTAGAGTGCTAGCCCTGGGCAAAAAAAGCTCAGGGAAGCCAAGTGCTGGTGGTTCACACCTGTAATCCTAGCTACTCAGGAAGCTGAGATCTGAGGGTCACAGTTCAAAGCCAGCCTGGGCAGGAAAGTCCATGAGACTCATCTCCGATAAACCACCAAAAAACCAGAAGAGGTGCTGTGGCTCAAGGATTGAGTGCTTGCCTTGAGCTGAAGAGCATAGGGACAGTACCTAAGCCCAGAGTTCAAGCCCCCATGACTGATTAAAAAAAAAACAAACCCTGAAGACAGATATTAGAGGATCAAAAGAGATTAAAGCCAATTAGTTCATTGTGTAAGTGAAGAAAATAGAGTTCCTTGGTTTGGAGACAGTCACTTGAAACAGAGTCATGAGTGGGTTTGAAGTTAGCAGCCTAGGGTGGACTGGTCCTCACAGCAGGTAGTAGTGTGGACAGCTTGCTTGTTTCCTGAACTTCCCTGGGCAAGTAAGTGACAGAGAGAAGCAGTCGACAGGATGTTTGCTAGACAGAGATGTGAACAGCCTAAAAAGCCTTCATGGAAAAGGGCAAGAATAAATAAATAATTGGGCCTACCCTTGTGTGTGTCCCTATACATTTAAAACTCTGTGACTTGTTTTAATTGGAGCACAAACACTGAGGATGATTTAAATGGCAATGTGGTGACTCATGGTCTGGCCTTCAGAACTGATTCGAGCTCTTTGCATGAGAAAATCAGCTCAGAGTGAACTAAAAGATTTTTACTCTTGAAAACAGGCATTCATTTTGGATCTTCTTTGGCCTTCTTGGAAGATAAGATAGATTTGGAAAGATGTAGAAGTTATTTCATAGTTATTGAGCCAAGTGCTTTCCTGCAGTAGAGCTGAACCCACATGGGGTTCAGCAGCAGTGAAATTGGTGATCCAATAAAAGATGAGGACTGCTAGGTTCAGAGTTGGGGCCAGGGTACTGTACTGCTGTAGTTGCCATCATCCCAGTATGACAGGTCACACAGTCACCATCTCTTCTGAACACACTTGACCTCTTGGTGTCTTTGTGGACCTCCAATAAGTCCTTCCCTTTCTCCTCACACTGAGTAACGCCTCATTCCCTAGCGCCACCATGTCCTGACTTTATCAAGAGTTTCCTCCATTCCTTCTACTTGCTCCCAGGGAATTTCCAGCCCAGGTCTAAAGAAGCAAAGAATCAGAGAGAGCCTAATAGGTAGAATGAGGGGAATCCTGATCAGATTCTTCCAACACAGACAGCCAAATTGAAGCCAACCTACCTCTACCTATTATTCTATGAGAGCTACTGATCGTTATTCTTTTAATCATGTTTTGACTCAATTTGCCTTTGTAAGAGAGTAAGTATCTGAATTTGAAGGGTCCTTTATAGGGTAGCACTTAGCAATTAATGTTTATTAAATTTTTGTGCTATTGGATCTGACCTTCATTCAAAGGGTATATGTAGGTAAGATATAGCAAACTGGTCCTAAAGGCCTCCTTTTTTCGTTCCCCTCCACCCTATAACAGTTAAGAGATAATGCTGACTTTTAAGTTATAAAAATCTTGTCAAATTCTAGAGGTTCCCTGATGTGGGATGGACAGAATCATGTTGTGTTTTTAGATTAGTCTAAATGTGAATGCAGCCCATTCATTTAAAGTTTTATATGCATTCCAAGGGCTGGGAGAAAGATAAATCACAGCATGATTTGTCCTAATCTTGAACTCCCTAAGGATGGCTTTTTATCACAGTATTCCAGAGTTCAAATATATTTTAAAAAGTTCTTTCTAGGCACTCACTGGTGGCCCAAGGTCCCAGCTACTCAGGAGGCAGAGATTGGAAAGATCTCAAAGAGAAGCCAGTACAAGGAAAAACTACTAAGACTCCATTGCTACCTAGCCAGACATGGTGGTACATACCTGTGGTCCCAGCTACCTGGAAGATAGTAAATAGAATCATAGTACTAGGCCAGCCCTAGGCAACAATGTGAGACCCTATCTAAAACAATAACTAAAGCAAAAAGTGGGGCACACTAGGAGCCAGGCTCAAGTGGTAGCGTGGTAGCCTACCAAAGGCACAGGCCCTGAGTTCAAATCTTAGTATCAGTCTCCCTCCTCAAAAAAAAAAAAGTTGGGCTGGGAAGGTGGCTCAGTGGTAGAGCGCTTGCCTTGCATGCATGAGGCCCTGGGTTCAATTCCCCAGCACCACATAAGCAAAAAGAAAAAAGCTGGAAGTGGTGCTGTGGCTCAAGTGGTAGAGCGCTAGCCTTGAGCTGAAGAGCTGAGGGACAGCACCCAGGCCCAGAGTTCAGGCCCCACAACTGGACCCACTCCCCCACAAAAAAGAAGTTATGCTATGGGAAAAGCCACAGCATGTCTCCCATATCCTGACAGAATGCCAGGTTGGTAATGCCCCAGCCTCTGAGATGGAGGAGATGAACACAGGTTAAAACAAGTGGAGTTGTGCAGGGCAGAGGCTCCCAGATCATACAATAGAACCTTCCTGCATTCCTTGTGTGGCTTTGATGCTGTGAGTGGACAGCTTTGTTTCTGAGCCCCCTCAAATCTCTGAACACTAACGTATTCTTCCCAGAACAATCCTTTGAGATCCCCTGAGCTTTGAGGTCAGGCTGCTAAGCCCCTGTGTGGGAAGGAGGATGGAGCAGCAGGGGGCAGGGCAGCTCTGAGGTGTGGGAGAGGAGTTCAAAGTCCAGCCAGATCCGGTTATGTGGTGCCCAAGCCCTTGGGGTCCCAGGGCTCCCAAGGAAGCCATTAAATAGCATGAGGTTCAGCCCTTTGCTGGGGTGTATATTGTTGCAGTCAGATTAGGAAATGTCTGTGCCAGACAGACAGACAGAGAAGCACATAAATCCAGCCTGGCTGTGCTCCATGCATCCACAGTTGAGGCAAAAAAGCCAGATCTCCCAGCAAAGCTACACAATTGCACTTCATACCTAAGATTTTGGGGGAAACAATTACAAAGTATGTTTAGAACTTTCCAAACTTTGATTGTGTTGCATGCTCTTACAAGTGGGCAAAAAAAAAAAAAAAAAAAGAAGAAAGAAAGAAAAAGAAAAGAGAAAAAGAAAATATCCCAAGGGATTTTCAAAACCTTCTCATCCTTGGAATGAGTGGGAAAATCTTCCATACTGGGGTCATTTCCTTTCTGTTTCAAGAAACTGATGTGCTGGAAATAACCCTGTTGCAAAAGGGACACTTCATGTCTTTTGAGTATTGATGATGCCAGAAAAACTTTCCAGGCCTAAAGGGGAGCTTGTCCCTTTCCCAGGCCCCTGGTGCAAGAAGACCCAGTAGTTGGACATGTGACTGGGGTACAAGACCCCCTAGAAGCTGACCTTTGAGATTCTGAGGGAATAATTAACTCATTCATTGAAGAAACAGGGCAGAACATGGAGGGAAGGGCCAGTCTAAGCTGGAGCATAGCATGCTGTCCCTCACAGGAAAGCCAGGATGTGGGCTCTGTGTCCCCTCCCCTACAGACTGTGCCAAGTCACTGTGAAGGCCCCATGTGGCTGAACTCACTCTTGAAATTAGAGCTGGGAAGGTGGCTTAGTGGTAGAGTGTTTGCCTAGTATTCATGAAGCCCTGGGTTTGATTCCGTATTAAAGTACCACATTAAACAGCAAAGCCCAGAAGTAGTGCTGTGGCTCAAGTGGTAGGGTACTAGCCTTAAGCAAAAGAAGCTCAAGCCCCTGAATTTAAGCCCCAAGACTGGCAAAAAAGAAAAACAAAAGAAATGAACAGAGGTTAGCTGGGCGCCTTTGGCCCATGGCTTACACCTATAATCCTAGCTACTCAGAAGGCTGAGATCTGAGGATTATGGTTGGAAGCCAGCTCAGGCAGACTAATCCAAGAGACTCTTATCTCCAATTAACCAGCCAAAAAAAAAAGGGGATGTGTCCAAGTAGTAGAGTACCAGCCTAATATTTTTCCTGAAAGGTCTTCCTAAAGCAAAGGAAAATTGTGAGGATCTGAGGTCAAGTCCCAGTACCAACACACACACACACACACACACACTCACACTCACATTCGTACAACACTTGTTGATTCAGAATAAGGACTTGCCTACAGAGGAAACTATGATGAGGTGAAAGCTGGATTCCAGTGACTTGTGAAGGCCTCTCAAGGGGTCCCATACTTGCTGACTATTTGGGTTCTCCCAAATTCATCAATACCCCTTTGCCAGAGAGAGACCTGGACACAGAACCCTGGGAGGACTCCTTAGAGGAGACACTCATTTTCTTTCAACTATCTTTCTACCTGTACTGGGGGGGAAAAAGGGGCCATCCAGCATTTTCCCTCCTATCAGACCCCTTTTGTAAAAGGTACCCCTCCCAAGTCCCTTCCAGAGCCCCCCCCCCCACTTTTTCCTTCATCCCTGCTCAGTCTTGGACTATGCACTGTGCTCAGCACATTTTCCAATAGCCCTTTAGATTCATTTTCTTCCATGACCCAAGGAGCAGCTGTTTGTTTATCCACCTCTCCCAAACAAACACTGGTAAAGCAAAGAAAGAAAAACATCAAACATTTTGGAACAAAAAAAAAATCCCACTATATTAATGGCAATGGTCTCAGATAATACAAAACAGCTGGTAAATGAAAACTCACGTAAGCATGGTTTGGGAAAGAAGACAATTTTGTTAACAGCTTTTTCTTCCTAGTTGTTTTTGTTGGTTTGCTTGTTTTGATTCATTTTCCCCCTTTTCCTCCACCCCCCCCCATTATGCTGGTGGTGGCAGGAAGAAGTCTGATCTTTGAAGCCAGCTGTAGATTACCCAGAGGGGATGGTCTCCTAAACATGATCACACATTCCTTCTAATTCCGATTAGGATGCTGACTCAGAAATCATGTTCAGGGCTGCTCAAAGATAGATTTGGCTTTGTGCCCTCTCTTGTAGGTCCTTCCATCGTGACACCCCCCAAGGACATCTGGAATATCACTGGCGCCCAGGTGTACTTGAGCTGTGAGGTCATCGGGATCCCAACCCCTGTCCTCATCTGGAACAAGGTCAGTGGCACAGACTTCAGGAGGAACTCGTCACCTGAGGAGGTGGTACCATGTAGTCCTTTGCCTGTTCTTTTGCTGGCTGCTCCTCAAAAGCAGTCCCTAAATCTATGGGACATTTCACTGACCTCCAAACAGTCCTTCTCTGTCCCTCTGTTTGCAACATCTGGCAGGGATCCTGAGAAATGAAAGAATAATGCTGAACTCCCCCAAGCCATCATATAGAGGTAGTATACAGATGTATGAATGTGGGTGTGGCCTCTGGGGAAGATGGTATAGCATGATTTAGGAAACAGAGCTCCTGTCTTTCGGCTGGCCATAGCTAAGACTGAAGCCCTCAGCATTTGCTGAGAAAATTTATGTTCCACAGAAGGGCAGTCCTGGCTGGGCAAGAAAGGGAAGCAAAACTCTATAGCCTTCTCTTGTGAGTGTGGATTATCTTCATCCAACCTCTACATGCCAGGAAATAGAATGATCCCTAACGGTGAGGGGAGGGATGAGGGATGGGTGAGGGATGAGGGATGGGTGAGGGATGTAAGGCTGGGATCCAGCCCTCAAGGTGCCAAGGTTATGGGACCACAAGTTAGGGACAGAATAAACCACTCCAGGAAGAAGAGGAGACTGATCAAAAGAAAGATCCTCTCCTCTCTGAGTTTTGCAGAATGCTGACCCCAAGTGGCAAAGTGGCATACTCTTTTTCATCAGTCCATTTTGAAATGACTTTCCAAATGGAAAAATAAAGAGTGAGTTCCCTAGCCAGATTAACAAGGGCCCTGGGCAAGCCAGGGCTCCTCAGCTTGGGCACTATTGACATCTTGGTGCAGCTGACTCTTGCAGCAGGGGCTGCCTGGGCTTAGAAGATGTTGGCAGCTTCCCTGGTCTCTACCCACTGGAGACCACAGCTCCCACCTCCCACTCCACCCCCTGTGATAATTAAAATCATATTTCTCCTGGGGAAAAAGCATCCCCTCCCCCACTGAAAACCATCTGTAAGCCTACTTACTCAGGAGGCTGAGATCTCAGAATCCTGGTTTAAAGCCAGTCAGAGCAGGAAAGTCCACGAAACTCTTATGTCCAGTTAGTCACCAAAAACTGGGAAGTATGAAGTAATAGAGCACCAGCCTTGCAAAAGAAGCTAAACAAGTGTGCAAGGCCTCAGTTCAAGCCCCAGTACTAACACACACACACACACACACACACACACACAAAGAAAGGAAGAAAGAAAGAAAGAAAACCATTACTCTTAGGCTCAATTTCCTTCTCTGTGTGATACATTTAGCATAGAATTATCCTTAGGGTTAAATAAAATAATGCAGGTAAGTCACATGGCTCATTGGTAGATACATAATAGCACTCAGTATAAAATAGCCACTGTTTCTGGAAATATCTCCCTTTGAGTGACATTGTCTTGTGACATGCCAACACAGTAGACACATTTTCTTAGCATGTTGGTAGGAGGAAAGAAAATAATACTTTGCAATTATAATGCTCATTTATATTTATGTCCTTGTATGAACTATCTTTTTTTGCCAGTTCTGGGGCTTGAACTCAGGGCCTGAGCACTATCCCTGAGCTTCTTTTGCTCAAGGCTAGCACTCTATCACTTTGAGCCACAGCTCCACTTCCAGCCTTTTCTTTTATGTGGTACCAAGGAATCAAACCCAGAGCTTCATGCATGCTAGGCAAGCACTCTACCATTAAGCCACATTCCCAGCAATATAAACTATCTTATGAAATTTTTAAAAAAAGAAAAAAAATCATCAAACTCATACTACCAAACAGGAAATTTAGTTTAAAAATACAAAAACAGACTCTCTTTTTAAGCTTGATTACTTCTTCAGCAAGCTCTACAATGATCTCTCTTGATTATCTTGTTGCAGTATTAGATGGCCAAAGAAGTGATTGATTCTCAATTTCCTGAAGGAGTTATGGGAAAAGAAGGAAAGAAGGCAAGAAGGGAGGGAGGAAAGACAGGAGGACGGAAATAAGGCAACTCCAGCCTGCAGGGCAGTTAGATTCACAAGCACACAAATGTCATCAGGACTGGAACTCTTGATCTTTGTTCTCAATATATTGCTCTCATTTTCCTATCCTTAAGAGAACTTTTGCTGGACAATATTGCCAGTGGCAATTATCACAGAAAGAGCCCAGAGCAAAGAAAGGGCTCTCTTCCAAATTCTGGCTTGTGGAAAAATCCTACGAAGGTCTCTGGCCAGATCAGGTCACCTGACAACCTTCAGCGCCCCCATGTGGCCAAAGGGATGCAGCCACTGAGAAACTGCCTGGTTTGAGTAATGGGTAATACACACCACCTAGGGTCCTGGGTGGACAGAGATGACACCAGCTATATGGCTCTCCCTTATAGCTGAAACATCCATTAAAGGGAACAATGAAATTTAGCCTCAGGAAATTATGTTTGAAAAAGAAACCGAGTAATAAGGGGCAGAAATGCAGTCCCTAAATGTAGTGCTTCAGGCCTTTACTGAGCAAGCTGCTGAGCTGCTTGTTCATTTGGAGGCTGGTGGTTAGCCAGGAGGTAAAGGAGAACTTTTCCAGGGAGTATCCATAAAAAGCTCTGCTGCTGCTCTACAGTTTCCTAGGGAGACTGACTCAATGAGAAGCCCGGGTGACCCCATGTCCTGGGCATGTAACTTTATTGGTAAATCTTGGCAGAAAATCACATCCTCAGTTCTTGCTCTGCCATACCAGCTGACACACACAGAGAACTGTGTTCTGGGCCTCTTTTCCTTGGGGCTTCGTGAGGCAGGTCCTTTGAGAATACCATGATCAAGGGGGGCAAGGTAGGGAAGACTAGGAGGATGAGGGAAAGAGGGACAGGTAAAGAGTTATGAGGAAGAACAGAATAAACAGAAAACCCAATCAGGATTCTCCACAAATTCTCCTGTACCTTCATACTGTCATTTGCCCCATATATGACCTACATCTTTGGTTCCCAAACTGCAACCCATGATCAGTCAGTCCCAGAATTAATGTAGGAATCAAACGCAATCTTCTTATAGGAAAGAAAAAGTAGAACCAATGTCTTGCTATGTGTGCTAGTATTACTTGTTAAGGAATAATTTCATAAAACCATGTCTCCTAGATCCCAAGGTAAGTTGTATTTCTTTGTTCAGACCATGGCAAAACACTTGGGAAACGAATGGTCATTTGTTTCCTCTGCATCTCCTGTAAGTAGACTAAGCACACAGAAATATTTAAGGTAAGCGTGTTGTTTCAACGCTAATTTAAGCACAAAACTTTTTGGATAGAAATAATAGGCCAGGCTTTCGGCTCATGGCCCTCAGTCCTTAAGCCCCCATCTCAGTAAGTAGAGGCAGGAGAATCTCAAGTTCCAGGCCACCTAGAACTATATGTAACAAGACCTTGTCTAAAAAACAAACCCCTGGAAGGCTGAAATGGATCCGTGTGTCTCTCCCTCTCTGATTCTCCTCTTAGTGGGAACCTTTACAGTAACAATGACTTAATACCAAGCCTTTTCTTTTTTAATCTTACAGATTTCTGAAATTTATTGGTATTTCCAACTCTTTGTATATTTGCAGAATTGTCCTAGAATTTTTTTTCCTCTGCCTGGATTTTTTATTCTAACTGAAAAGTATATATTTATCAATAAATTCTTCTTACCAAAGTAATGGAGTTGAGTTACATGAAAATTCTTGGCACTTGTTTTGCACATGTGTAATTTTTTTTATAAGTAAATTTTGTGTGTGCTGGGCTTGACAAAGAACCTGAACTGTCCCTTAGCTCTTTTGCTCAATGTTGGTACCAACCAACTTGAACCATAGCTCTACCTTGATTTTTTTTTTTCTTTTTTTGGGGTCCGTGGGGCGTGAACTCTGGGCCTGGGCACTGTCCCTCAGCTCTTCAGCTCAAGACTAGCGCTCTACCACTTGAGCCACAGCGCCACTTCCGGCTTTTTGCTTATGTGGTGCTGAGGGATCAAACCCAGGGCCTCAGGCATGCAAGGCAAATGCTCTATCACTGAGCCACCTTCCCAGCCCCTACCTTTATTTTTTTGCTAACTGGGGATAGTTTCATGGACTTTCCTGACTGGACAAGCTTCAAACCAAGATCTTCAGATCTCAGCTTCTTGAGTAGCCTGGGATTATTAGTTGTGAGCTACCAGTAACCAGCAAATAACTAGCAAAAGAAATTCTCTGTGATAGCAGATCAGGTTCACTAGCATGGGCCCCGAGCTTTGAACAAGTCAAGACAAAAGCCCTACCATGAGCCACATCCCTTGCCTTTTTTTTTTTTTTGGAAACAGGATGTGTTACAGGCTGGCCTCCAACTGTGTTTAGGGCCCAGGCTAGCCTCAAACACACAATCTTTTGTCTCAGCATCTCAAATGCTGAGATTATAAACAGGAACTACTATGCTGAGTCACAATTCTTTTACTATCTGATTTGCTTTCGTACTTGCTAAGATTCAGATTTTCTGTGCTGTAATGTTTTATTTTTCTGCTTTGATAATATTTAAAGCCCTTACAGAATTCTGGGGTTTAGTAAAGGCAAGAGAACTACTCAAATTTAGCCAGTGAATCAAATACTTGTCCCAAAATACTAAATCCCATTTATAACTAGTTCAAAGCTGCACTATTATAAACCTCTTCTGTCAGCCACTTGGAGAACTGAAGGAAAAATACATCTATTCTTGTTTATCTTAGCATGTGTATGAAAAGACACTAAGTAAGCTAGTTTTCTCTCACTAATGATGGCAAAGTCAAGTAGAGAAAGTCAAGGGAAAAAAATGAACATTTGCTTTATTATAGAAGTAAATGAGATGAAACTACACTTGACATAGCACATCCTTCCAATTACAAAAGTAATAATACACACCAGCCTGGTTATTGAAAGGTGTCTAGTACACAGAAGGCACTGTACAAAAGGAAATGTACGCATTACTTGACTCATGTAATTGTAATCCCTCTGTACATCACCTCTATAATAACAATACATTAATTTTTTTTAAAGATGTCTAGTATAAAAAGTTTCATGCATCCTTAAAAAAAAACCTTACTCATCATTGGCCTTTTAAATAGTTGTATTCTATAACTGAAATGCTAAAATGTGTATGGACAACTTCCAAGAAAACTTGTCTTTTGTGTATTTCTGTGTATTCTCCAAAATTCACATAAGATAGTTTGACCTTTAAAATGAAGAGCATGGAAAATGAGGACTCATTATTGGCCTTAATCCAAGGGAACTGAACTTTTCCTTAATCCAGTCTCCTGAATCCAATCATGAAGTGTGCAGGACTGGGCAAGAGAACAATGATATCAGCGCATGTGACAGATGGTATTGGCCTCAGGCCTTCAGGAAATCATTCGATGAATCCTTAGTCCAAAGGACCGTGTAATAAAATCAGCTGTAGACAGTACCTCCTACTTTCCATTTATGAGGCTAATTTCCAGAAGAGCCCCAAGATCCCACACATCAAAGCAGAACTGGTTAACTGTGGATCAAAAATGGCCTGACAGGCAAGGAAGACCCAGCACCAAGGGGAATTTCCAGGAACATGAATGACCACAGCCAGTAGCAGGAAAGGATGGACCTGTGTACTCCTCCAAGCACACAGGAAAATGAATTCATGTAAAGAATGTTGCTTAGATGAAACTGGAGGAAATAAAGAGATCTGTGTTTGAGAAGTATTCAAGAAAAGCAAACGTGGGAGTAAATTATTAGGCTTAATCAGATTAGGCTTAATTATTAAGTCTGACATATACCTTTTGAAGTTTTAGGAATGCAGCCATTTCAAAGTCATTTTACTGCCAAGAACTGCAATGTTTCCTCTTGTTTATGCAGGTAAAAAGGGGAAACTATGGTGTCCAGAGGACAGAACTCTTGCCTGGTGACCGGGACAACCTGGCCATTCAGACCCGAGGTGGCCCAGAAAAGCATGAAGTAACTGGCTGGGTGCTGGTGAGTACCTAGTACTAGCAAGAATTTCATTCTAGGGCTGGGAAGGTGGCTCAGTGGTAGAGCGCTTGCCTTACATGCTTGCGGCCCTGGGTTCGATTCCTCAGCACCACATAAGCAAAAAGAAAAAAGCCGCAAGTGGCGCTGTGGCTCAAGTGGTAGAGTGCTAGCCTTGAGCTGAAGAGCTGAGGGACAGCGCCCAGGCCCAGAGTTCAAGCCCCACGACTGGACCTAAAAAAAAAAAAGAATTTCATTCTAAAAGTTAAGACACAAGCTGACCTGGCAGAGGTGCCAGATGTTCTGCCAGCCTGGTGGCACTGGCTCCTGCACATCCATGTAGAGCAGCCTGCAGGGGTCACTGTTCTTTTCAGGGAGGAACAATAAGAGTTGAAATTGACTGTATGTTTTAGAAACCAAGAGTTAATGAAGCGTAATTTTTCCTGAGTTTTATGCAAAATTCTCAGAGAACATAATGACCCAAGCACTAATTACTTTGTTATCTGACTTGACACTTGATTTAATGGATGTTACTTAGATCATATCCTCTAGAAAGGCATCACTCAAACTTATATGATGCAACCCAAATTTGTTCGTAACATTTTCTAAGAGTATGAGTCCTCTCAGACCAGGTGTGGTAGCGACACAGGTTTCCAAGCACTACTCCTAGCAGTCATTGCTACAGATTCTCTTATTGGTCACCTGGTCATCTTAGGGAACTTAGGAAATGATGACCATGCAAGTCAGTGGGGAGAGGGGAACTAGGGGAACTAGTTCCCACAGGGGATCTAGAGATCCTTTTTCTTTCACAGGTGTCACCTCTGAGTAAGGAAGACGCTGGAGAGTACGAGTGCCATGCATCTAATTCCCAAGGACAGGCTTCAGCATCAGCAAAAATTACAGTTGTTGATGCCTTACATGAAATACCAGTGAAAAAAGGTATGTAAATAAACCTCGGACCTTTAAAATATCCAAAGTATCAATAGGAAGTGCATCAAGTATGCCATTCAAATATAGATCCCATGGTTCCCTGAAGAATACTGGGATGATGGGGGAAGGTGGCTCAGTGGTAGAGTGCTTGCCTTGTATGCGTGAGGCCCTGGGTTTGATTCCTCAGCACCACATAAGCAAAAAGAAAAAAAGCCGGAAGTGGCGCTGTGGCTCAAGTGTAGAGCGCTAGCCTTGAGCTGAAGAGTTGAGGGACAGCGCCCAGGCCGAGTTCAGGCCCACAACCGGACCCTACTGGGATGTCTGAGGAATGCCCACACTATAACTTAGATGCTTTCTTCTTATCTTGGCCATGAGAAACAGAACTTGTTTCCCATACTTTTTTTTGTCCATGTTCAACACTTTAGCCATGCCTCCAGTTCTAGCTTTTGCTGGTTAACTGGAATTAACAGTCTTGAGGATTTGTCTGCTCTTGCTGGCCCCAACCCTTGATTCTCCAATCTCAGCCTCCTGACGGGCTAGGATTATAGGCCTGAGCTTCCTGCACCTGGCTCCATCACTACCTACATGGCTTTTTTCTTCATTTTGTTATGTTAAATTCCCCTTTAAAAGGAAATGACTGTGGGAGACTTTGCTCTTCATTATAGGCTTCTAAGAGAAAAAGGTGGAGAAAGAGTATGTTGCCAAATTCCCAATTCTTCCTGCCACCACTTCCCTGCCAACAAGGGTACTCCAAAGAACCCAGGCAGATAGTGTCACAGTACTTACCTAGTTCACCAGTGATGTTTGAACAGGCCTTCCCTTACCCCAAGTCAGAACAACATACCACTTCACTGTGCCAATCACTGGGCTGTGGAAGGAAGGCAAGTATCAAAGAGTAAAGATTGCCTTACAGTCAAGGTGTGTAAAGCAAGGCAATAACACAGAGCAGCAGCTAAGAATTAAGTCACATTTGAGTCCCAGCTTTGCAGCTAATTCTTCTGCCCTTTAAAGTATGAACGAGGGCTGAACCACAAAGTTCTTACTTTCCCTCCATGAATCCCAACTTAAGAGATCTGTGCAATGTCTGATCTAGTATATAAAGTATACAAATACCTATACTTTACTTCCAAAGTGTACATCTGAAACTGTACAGCTCAAACTCAACAAGGCACTGTAGTGTATCATGCATTTATTACTCACATGTCCTTTATTGCCATATTTTGTTTTGTTTTTCTTAACAGACAGGGTCTCTGGTATACACCTGTAATCCTAGCACTTTAGGAGGCCAAGGCAGAAGGATTCTAAGTTCAAGACCACCCTGGGCCAGATAAGAATACCCTGTGTGGGGGCTGGGAAGGTGGCTCAGTGGTAGAGCGCTTGCCTTGCATGCTCGAGGCCCTGGGTTCTATTCCTCAGCACCACATAAGCAAAAAGAAAAAAGCCAGAAGTGGCGCTGTGGCTCAAGTGGCAGAGCGCTAGCCTTGAGCTGAAGAGCTGAGGGACAGCGCCCAGGCCCAGAGTTCAGGCCCCACAACCGGACCCCTCCAAAAAAAAAAAAAAAGAATACCCTGTGTGGAAAAACAATGAGTTGGAAGAAACATGGGTTTTCTAAGTTGTCTCAGCTGGTCCCGAACTCCTAGGCTTAAAACATCCTTCTGCCTCAGCCCCGGAGTGCTGGCTGGGACTATAGATAAACCATTATATCCCATTATATCTTGCCCTATCTATTATCCCTATCTAACATGTTCAAACTGCCTGTCAAGTAGAAAGTTTACCATGTCCAAATATGTAACCAAATATTTTTTATCTTTTTCTCTTTTTAAACAGGTGAAGGTGCTGAGCTATAAACCTGAAGAATATATTAGTCTACATAGCTAAAACTTAACCATAGATAGCCCATATTATTACCTAATTACAAGTTTCTTTTATGCCAATGCACTAATACTCTAGTAATAATACTCACAGGTTTTATATAAAGAAATACAAAATAAAGATAACATAGGCGGGAAACATGGAGCAGTGGTAGAACACCTGCCAGGAAGGACAAGGCCAAGAGTTCAAACCCAAGTACATCCAAAAACAATAAAAATAATACTAAAAGAGGACATCAAGACATCTACAAAAATTTATTACCTATTTACATGCATATCAATAAAACAAATGCTTTTAACTGCAATGCAGTAATTTTGTAATTTTTAAAGCATCCACGGAAACGAGACAGATTCCCAAATATCTTGAGTCTTTGAAGAGTTAAACACTCATCATTCGAGGTGCAATACTCATAGACATAAGTTCCTGAAACAACAGTTTGCACGCGTAAGGCATTCGCACCAAAGAAATCTGAAAAGAGAAAACAAATCATCAGCAGCAGAACTGTACTGAAGTGACCCACTTCATTCAGTACTACAGGGGAATGAGGGGCCTCAGTCAGCCCTGCTTTCTCCTAGCAGGCTGTGCTATTCCTCTGGTAGGCCACACATAATGTATATGCCACCTCAATTGAAAAATTATAGTAAAGGATTAAGAAAAACTCATTTTTCAAAAGTCCTTGTGGAAAACTTGATTATTTAAAAAAAAATAGAAAACTTAAGAGAAATTACCACACATAAAATAAGGAATCTTACAGAGGCACACTAGCATGCTTGTGAAAATACCGACCTGCTCCCACACACTAAACCTGCCTGCAGAACAGACCAACATAGACATGGCATAAACCCAAGTACTGCAGCGCACACATACCTGGGTTTTATTTCGGCAACCCCTGCATTCATACGTATGTGTCCTGGTGTTAGCAATTGCCATAATTCCACAAAGATTACACACATGAACCTGATAGGGATCGGAAGCCTCAAACAATCTTTCTCTTAAAAATTGGGCTGCTCCATGGGCAATCTGACAGTCACGTTCCATTTCTCCAAAACGCAAGCCACCATCACTGGAAAGGAGAAAACAATAAGTATTTTGCACTTATCACTATATACACAGCATTGTAACCAACATTAAAGAATGAGAACTAGGCTGTAGATTTTATTCCTTAGCATTCCCTCTCCTTTCAGGGGAGGTAAGATCTACCAGCCATTTGAGGTGCACTAGACAGTCCCCAAATGCAGCAGACATATTAGATTTTCAAGTACTGTAATTTTCCTTATAAATATAATGTGGTATGGAGTAAAGACTCATCATGCTAACATTTAACTTTCTAGAATTCACCACTATACTCAGAAGTGAGTAAAAAGTCAATCTAAACAAGGCAGCTTCTCAATAAATGATGTCCCAAGCAGTCAAGCCTGCAGTGACGAATGCACATCCAAGGCCAGGAGAGTGACCGTAGGTCTCCCCATGACACCAGAGCAGTGCATTGAGATGGCCACACAAATGGACTATGATACTTCCTTAACTTCCTTAGCACAAATAATACATACAATAAAACTAGTGGGCTTATGATACTTCCAAATGTAACAAAACTTGTTATTCTGAAATTGGTTAAGTAAAAGGAAAATATCAAGCATTTATCTAGATTTTATTATCGGCCTTATATTATATAAAGATACATTCTGAGCTGGGCACTGGTGGGGCTCATGCCTTTAATTCTAGATATTCAGGAGGTTGAAACCTGAGGACCACAGTTCAAGCCCAGCCCAGGCAGGAAAGTTTGTGAGACTCTTATCTCCAATTAAATCACAGAAAAAGTGGCGCTGTGGCTCAAGTGGTAGAGTATTAGCCCATAGACAGTGCCCAGGCTCTGAGTTCAAGCCCCAGGACTGGCAAAAAAAAAAAAAAAAAAAAAAAAAGAGAGATAAACCAGTGGATTTTAACATGATATACAAGAAGGCAAAAAGGCTTAAGGGCCTGGCTTCAAGTTTTACATTACTATTTACTTTTAAGAAACAGCAATAGTCCTTTTAGTATAGCATCATAAAAAAATAGCCACATTTACCTAAAAAAAAAAATACTCCCACCCTTTTTTACTGACAACTGTCAGATTACATTTTTCCTCACACACTTAAAATATAAAAAGCACATACTGAAGTAAAATGAGTTCAGAACTGGATAGAAGACTCTAGCTACCTTCAAGTAAACCAGTTCACTAAGGACATTTGCAAAAATGTAAACTTATTTCACTCATCAGTAAATGATTTAGGAAATATACTTTTTATTAAATTTGATACTGATAATGTATATATTACTGTTTGTTTAAATAAATGTTTAAACCTATCTTCATTTCTAATATAATAACTACCCATAAATATACTTCACAAGAATGAAACTGAAGTTCTGGGATCAAGAGATTTGAGAGCCAATTATTTACAGGCATAAGTAGTATCTACAGAAGAAATTATAGGGGCTGGGAAGGTGGCTCAGCGGTAGTGCTTGCCTTGCATGCATGAGGCCCTGGGTTCAATTCCTCAGTCCCACAGAAGCAGAAAAAGCCAGCAGTGGTGCTGTGGCTCATGCAGTAGAGTGCTCGCCTTGAGCTGAAGAGCTGAGGGACAGCGCCTAGGCCCAGAGTTCAAGCCCCATGACTGACAAAAAAAAAAGAAATTATACAGTGCTTGCTAAATAAGTGCTGTATAACCCTAGTTCACCTCTGATTATTTTTAAGCAAAGCTAGGTTATACAGCACTTGCTTAGCAAGCACAGACCATGGGCTTGATTCTCTACACAAAAATGTGTGTGAGTAAAATAACCAGGTACTAGTATGAGAGAGGAGATGTACACAGGAACAAGACTGAAACTACTGAAGTTGGGTGACAGGTATATTGACATTCATTTTACCACAACCCCTTTTCTTTGTATGTATTTGGCATTTTCAAATGAAAGTTTAATTAAGAATAAATAATGGGCTAGAAAGGTGGCTCAAGTGGTAGAGCACTAGCCTTGAGCTGAAGAGCTGAGGGACAGTGCCCAGGCCCAGAGTTCAGGCCCCACTACCAACAAAAAAGAAAAAAAGAATAACAGTGATAACACAGCTTGCTTACCGAGATCTACCTTCCATAGGCTGTCTATTCAGGATCTGAATAGGTCCCCTAGCACGAGAATGAATTTTGTCATCCACCATATGCTTCAAGCGCTGGTAGTAAGTTGGGCCAATAAAAATTTGTGAGGTGATTTTTCGACCAGTGAACCCATTGTAGAGGACCTGAAACAGACACAGATGTTGAAGCACAAAACTAAAACTATTAAACAAGTTCAAGGATATAAGTACATAAAGTACATATATTGGACAATTCCATTTATATAAAAAAAAATCAACAAAGTATCTTAGCAGTTAGCTTGGGTATGAGTTAGGTGAATGAGAGGGGGTTTCTAGGTATAAAGGGTCCTGGGTCATTTTTTTTTTTATGGATCATGGCATTTGACACACAGGTGTGCTTACTTGGAAATTCATCAAGCTATGCATTTATGATGTATGCACATATTTGAACCATAAGTTATACTTCATCAAAAGGTTTTAGTGCGTGTGTGACCATGCACACATGTATGTGTGGGTGCATCAGTCCTAGGGCTTAAACTTTGTATATGTGTGTGAGCATGCATGCACCCACATACATGATAGTCCTAAAGCTTGAACTGAGGGGGCCTGGGTGCTGTCCCTGAGCCTTTTTGCTCAAGGCTAGTGCTTACCACTTGAACCACAACTCCACTTCCAGCTTTTTGGTGATTAATTGGAGATGAGAGTCTCATGGGCTTTCCTGCCCATGCTGGCTTCAAACCACCATCCTCAGATCGCAGTAGCTAGGATTACAGGTGTGAGCCACTGGCACCCAGCTTCAAAGATTTTATTTTTAAAGAATAAAACCAGGTGGGGGGGCAAGGGGAGGATGGGAAGGGATGGGAAGGGGAAACAAAGGAGGAGGCTTCAATGCTTGATAAGAAATGTACTCATTATCTTGCCCATGTAATTGTAATCCCTCTGTACAGTATTTTTCACAATTAAAAAAAAAAAAAAAAAGAATAAAACCATAGGCTGGGAAGGTGGCTTAGTGGTAGATGCTTGCCTAGCACGCATGTAGCCCTGGGTTCGATTCCTCAGTAGCACACACACAGAAAAAACCGGAAGTGGCGCTGTGGCTCAAGGTAGAGTGTGAGCCTTGAGCAAAAGCTCGGGGACAGTGCCTAGGTCCTGAGTTCAAGCCCCACAACTGGCAAAAAAAATAAATAAATAAAACCATACATTACAAAATAAAATTACATAAATAATAGAATACAAGTAACAAAGTACCACTATATATACCTCATTTCCTCTGAGATGGTAGCCATAATCGGACAGGAGATTAGAAATCTTCTGGACATTAACAGCATCATTAAATGGAGTGGCATCACCAATTTCACCCTTATTAGCTGATACCTTTGAAATAAAAATATTCTTTGAAATGCTGCTTCATTGTTTCCCTTTAGAAGTTATATATCAATTAAATGTAACTGCAATTAAATCCATTCTATAAAGGGGAGGATTTAAAAATCTATGTATTGAAAAGTTGTAACATATGGAGACTCATTTTCTTAATATCATATAAAAAATATATATGTTTATAGCAAATTGATTTACCTAAGAAAACCAAAAACTCAAATATAAGCCTTCAAATATGAATTCACCCATGGGATCAGATACAAAGAGAGCAAAAGTCCCAAATACTTCTGATGGCCCCAGGAAAATGACATTTTAATGATCTGCAATCAAGCTGTCTATGAGTTAGGTTATGGCCATTCTACCTTAACAAGATACTTAAAAATAGAAAACCTCCACTGAAAGGCACATGCACAGCTATAATAAAGCCATAAAATTACTAAGGTCACCTTGAACCAATTACCTTTCATCTATAGAAAGAAACCAGTTACTAAGATAATGACACATGTAGCAAATGCTGGAAGTAGTATATCCTACAAAAGTTCTGCCATAACTTTGCAAACTTAATTTAAAAGATAAATAAAAAGACTCATAACCAACTTGAAAGCAGGAAAATAAGAATTATATTAACATAGTAACCCGGCTCAAATATAAGAGAAATCATCTACTATTGTTTTGAATGAAACATCAATTTGGAGTACATAGATTTTTTTTTTTAAGCCAATCTTTTACCTTTCCTTGAAGACATTCAATCAAGTGACCAATAGTCATTCGAGAGGGGATGGCATGGGGATTTATGATGATGTCAGGAGTGATACCTTCACAGG